TTACTGATTTAATTGCATTTATTTTTAAAATCACGATGTTTCCAATTCTTATTTCAGTCTCTTCATGACCATATGTCCTGCTAAGCGCTAGAAAGTAGAAAAGTAAAGAATCAAAAAATAAAATAAAAACAAAGGCGTTTATTTAATCTAACGGTTTTTTTTATGGGAAAATGTAAAACTTACTTTGATATGATTACTTGTTTTCCGAGTCTAACATGATTGTGAAACTTTCTTTAATACCAAATATTTTCTTATGAGACTAACATTAACTTGCAATTATTTAATTTCTAGATAACTAACTTCCAAATGTCTGCCAAGCATAACAATTTTGGCAAATTTTCCGTGCAGCGGGATAGTCTCATATGATCAGCAGTGGATTTTATGAGTCTTACAGTAAACAGTAATTATAAAGCAGGGAACGCACATTAATTGCCAAAATTGGCTTTTGCAACGCTAACTTCGTAAATTAACACAACAGATATTAATTTAACCTGTCTGATCCGAGATTACATTCTGCTTTTCAGACAGTGTTATGATTTTTTACTATACCTGAAGGAAATATGTGACATGAACTTGTGTTCCAATACAAGTATTTTTATGCATTCAATATTATGCGTTAGTTTCCAAATTTACGTCTTCTCATATTATGTAATTCCTTGTTTTAAAATTAGAATTAAAAATTGTAATAAATTCGATTCATCAAAAATCTTAATTAATTTGATCCTAATTAATAGGAATTTTCTAATGTTGTGGTAACTTTCTTTAGCGACGTTCAAAGCAAAGTTTTCGTATACAACGGTTGGTGCGTAATAATTCAAATAATGAAATAATTCGAAATATGTAGTTGGCCAAACTTCCTTTACTTATCACATTTTATAACAACAATAATTGTTGTAGTTTTGGATAAAAAGTTAATTTTGTAATAGCAGTCGGTCTTAACACGTTGAACACCAGACTAATAACCATGTTTAGCCCAGTGGGCCGCGGCGGACACCTTGTGACCGCCAGTAAAGGCACAAAAAATTCGAAAGGACTTAGAATTTATGAGCTTTTCAACTAGTTGATTCCAAATATATTGTAGATACATAAAGTAAGTATATTGAATCGTTCAATTGAAATTATTTTTTTAGGTAGACGTTATTTTTAGCCTTTATAAGGCACTGTAAAGTCGTTAAAATTATAATCGTTTTCAATTAAATACGTATGAAATGAGTAATGGATCCAGTATAGGTAGTTTACGTAAGAAGCTACATTTTGACAAAAATCTAAGATTTGCCTTCTGTTTCGGCTTACCTATACAATATAAGTGAATATAAAACGCTTTATATTTTAGTTTTGTAATCTCGACGAAGCACACAGAGTGTTTTGTGGACAAAATATGAACATCGCGCTTGTCTTTCAAATGGAAAGTTATTCCATACCGACTCTCTTCAGCATAGCACTCTTGAGTTTGGTGCTGTGGATTTTTTTAGTATGCCCCGCCTGATTTTCCGGACCGTCCCGACAAAGACTTTTGGAGAAACAAACACATCGTGTGTTTGTTTGTCCAAAAGTCTTCAGTATTCAAAAGTATAGTGAACGTATTGTTCCCACAATTGTGGGAAAGAGACTGACTTATTCTTCGATGTAGATAATACACTCCTTCTTTTTCTACGGAGATCTTAGAAATTACCGCATAATAACGTTAATATTAATATACTTTTATTAATTATATTAGAAAGACATTTTAAAAGTCCTTGTTTACATTATCGGTATCAAAAAATACAAAAATAATTTTTGTAGTAGATAATATTATATTATTCTTGATACTCCGCTAACAGTGTCTGCAAACATTTTCCCAAGGATACGTTTGACTTCAAAGCAAGTTCCACTAGTAAGTAGGGATCGTGTTGTAATTATATTAAAGTGATCTCGAGGTTGTTTCAAAGTTACTAAACTACATTACTATAAATTATTTGCTTCTGCTATATAATGCACATCTAAACTGCTTCTGCACAATGAATGTCTTCCATAATACTTTTTTAGTAATCATGAAAACGAAATACTACATGTAAACTAAAGTGAAAGTAAAGCTCAATTTTCAATTCAAAAAGTCCATTTACGTAAAATTTTTCCTTCCCGCAACCAACTAACCAACCCTCTCATTTCTCAGTTTATTAATAAAGTTCATAACAATTAGTAAAAAAATGATATAAGGCATTGTATATAACAATACATTTTAGCCCAGTCAGTCTATTGATAATGATAAGGCTTCAAGATTAATATTTAATAATTTTAATACATAAATAAGTGTGCATTTATTAATTATTCAAGACCGTAAGACTTTAATAACGTTAAACTAATTTTAGAGCTTCTTTAAAGAATTTTTAAGTTGGTGTTTAATGAATAGACGTTTTTATTTGCAGCCGACTTTATTTTTTAAATTGATTAAGACGAATAAAGTTTTCATAAATTTAGCAGAATTATGGGCAACCGAATAATTTTCATGCCTTGGCATATAGAAAATACACAAGACATATAACAAAAAGAATGTTTATATTACCTTTACCCTTCGTCTGAAATGAAACTGTCAGAATCTCGAACGATTTAATATCTAGAGCGTTAGAATTTTATGTAATATATTTTAACCGAGTTCAAAAAACGAAAAGGTCTTATGTTCGAAGTATTCTTTTTTTATGTACGTTCACCGAATTGTCGGTGACTGCTGAACCGAATTAAATGATTATTTTTATTAATAAAATTGTAAAAAAGCAACTGTCAACTGTATGTATATTTTATTACCACAATTTTTTTCAATTTTAGTATTAAATCTTTTATATTATTTACATTAATATACAAATTAAAAGGCTAAATTAAAATTGAGTGCGGTTGCGTACGCCGTCGTAAGTGCACGTGCATCATGTCGAATCAGTGTTGTAATTTAGTAATTAATGAAGTGCTATGTTTCATTCAATGTAAAATTGATGTTATAGATGAAGTAAGCTTAATACAAATATCTGAGAGTAATTTTACGGTCAGAGATATTGAATCGGCAAAGGATATATTGTCTGGGGCTGTTAATCTTCGTGCTTCTACAAGAAGAGGCGATGGAAGGAGCAGGCGATTTCTGCAGGATATTATAAAAATATTTAAGGAAAATGATCCGGACATACTTCCAAGTTTTGTTGCGAAGGATTTGAATCGTCTGCCCCCTGTTACATTCGATCATGTGGATGTATCTTCGTTGCTGAAAGATATTTTGAAACTAAAACAAGACGTGCATACGATTCAATGTTCATATGTAAAATCAACAGAATTAAATGATATAATCTCAAGTTCGTTAAACAAAGGGCAAGTGAGTGACGAAAAGTGCTATACGAATATTTGTGAATCAATAATTCAATCTGAGAAATATTGCAACGATGTATGTTCAACTATCAATATAGACGGTAGTGGTAAAAACATTCCAGCTGAGATAACTAACAACAAATCAGCTGCGGAGCAACTCGAACCTATGATTCATAGGCCGAAGCAAACCGATCTCGTGTCGGTGGAGGGACACACGGCCGCCGCATTAGACACAACTCCCAAAGAAAGATGTTTTGCAGATATTGTGCGTAATGGACAATGGAAGCCGGAGACTCGTAGCGAAGAATGGATTGAAGTACAGAAAAGAAGAAGAAGGAATCATTTTATTGGGAATAGAGGAAATGCTGGAAAAAAGGGTCTCAAAGTAGTAAAATTCAGTAGACATTAGTAATTGTAATATTAGTAATATAGATATATAATAGTAACAAATTATAGTAGAAATATTAAAATGTAATTAATAAAATGTAATAATATCATTGATTAACCAATAATTATAATTAAAATTTAAGGTATAGTTTAAAAAATTTAATTTTAATTTTGTAATGGATCTGTGTTGTCTGTATCAAATAAATTATTATTATTATTTTTTTTACACATATTGGTTGGGAAATATAAATATATAATTGTAAATAATCATGGTAAACGTACATAAATATCAATAAAATAAAATAAATACATAAAAAATACATAAATATATAAAAACCCAACCAGAGGGAAGCCCTCGGCAGGGGAGACCAAACGGCCGAGGGTTAGGGGGAAAGGGAAAGAAACCGGCGGACGATGTGGGCGGTATCGAGGAGCACCGCCTTCTGCATTTGAGCTTGGAGCGGTCGGTGACGGAGTCTCAGTCGCCTCAGATGACCCGAGAGGCTGATTGGAATTAACCCATTCGCAGAGACGACTACAGGTATAATTTCGGCCGGCAGTCCACCCCACATGTCGGTCACCTCGTGAGCCAGGTCCAGATATTTTGTCAGCTTATCTGTTTCGGCTTTCACGAGGTTCTCGTCATAAGGAATGGTAATGTCGACCAAAAATATCCTTGACTGTGCCCGGTCCATCAGCACAATATCAGGCTTATTCGCAAGAATAGTCCTGTCTGTGATGATGGCCCGGTCCCAGTAGAGCCTGGCGCGGTCATTTTCGAGTACAGCTTCCGGCAAGTACTTATAATACGTCAGTTTACGATCCACGAGACCGTATTTCAGAGCGAGCTCCTGGTGTAGAATCCTGGATACTAAGTTGTGTCTGTGCAAATACTCATAGTTAGAAAGCGCCGAACAACCGGAGATGACATGCCTAAGTGACTCACCGGGATGGCGACAAGCTCGACAGACGTCGACGGTGCCATCCTTTAGGATGTATCTCCAATAATTGTTGGTCTTAATAACATGGTCCTGTATCGCACAGACAAAACCCTCGGTTTCCCCAAAGAGGTCACCGAAACGTAGCCAGTGGAAGGAGGCGACTGTGTCTACGAAAGGCTCGTGTAAAGCCTTGTAGAACCTCCCGTGGAGCTCCTTCTCCTTCCATACGGACTCCCGGTCGGAAATGCTCTGTACTGCCGGGTCCTGCCATTGCTCGTTGGCTAAGGATAGAGGGGTAAGTCCTTTATCACAAGAAATAACGTCCCTATAGTATGGATCATCCGCTCACGTTAGAAAGTAATTACGGAGGCTGCACACTTCGCGATTATGCATGGTAAGCGCGCTTAAAAAGCCGCGCCCACCATGCTTCCGCGGCAAGTACAGCCTCATTACTGACGATCTCGGATGATGCATCCTGTGGGACGTCATTATAGTGCGGACTTTTCTGTCCAGAGCGTTTAGTTCGGTCTGAGTCCACCTAAGTATGCCAAAGGTATACATAAGAACAGGCATGACCCAACCGTTATATGCGTGCGTCTTATTCACACCGGACAAAGGGCTGTTAAGCACTTTGGTCAAGCGTGCATAAAACACATCGCAAACTGACTGTTTCATACACGCCTCATCTACACCGATGTTCTGTGACATACCCAGGTATCGGTATGTTTCAGCCTCGGAAAGGGTCCTTATGTTGATGGGCATAGATAAATCTATGCCCTCAGAGTTAGCAACCCTTCCCCTTTCAACATGGAGGACCGCACACTTATCCGTCCCCAGCTCCTTTCTTATAGAATTGCTAAAATCACAAGTGATGTTTAGCAATTCCATAAGATGAGAGCGACTGGAGGCGAATAACTTGAGATCATCCGTATAGAAAAGGTGGGTCACTTTTGTACCTCCCTTCCGAAGCTGAAATCCGCTCCCGGAGCCCTCCAGTAAGGTACTGAGAGGGTTCAGAGAGAGGCAGAACCAGATTGGACTCAAACAATCGCCCTGGAAGATACCCCTTCTTATCTTTATGTGGTTCTCCGCAGCCGTCATCCGCTCGCCTAGATGACAAAGGATCATACTCCACTGCCCCATACACTGCCCGAGGAAATCTCTAACTGTACAGTCAATCTTGTACAACTCGAGGACCCTCTTAAGCCATGCGTGAGGCACCGAGTCGAGTGCCTTTTTGTAGTCTATCCAGGCGGCGGAGAGGTTCCGACGGTTGCGTTTAACCACCTTGCCAATGACCACGTCAATGAGGAGTGGTTCCTTAGTTCCACGACCACCGCCCCTACATCCATTCTGAGCGCGCGACATCACCTGATTTGAGTTCAGGTGACGACTGATTCTCGCGCTCAAAATGGATGTTAGTGTCTTGTATATCGTGGGTAGACACGTGATGGGGCGGTATTTGCTCGGGTCTGTGGTATCCTGATCTTTAGGAACCAAATGATTGATCCCAGTAGTGAAGAGGCTCGGGTGCGACTTCTGGTTGAGAGCCTCTTGAAACTGTCGGGCGAGTACAGCGTGACACACCACGAACCCCTTCAGCCAGTAGTGATGCAACCCGTCGAGCCCCGGACATTTCCAGTTCGGGGCCCTACGGACCGCCTCAACTACGTCATCCGGCGTTATGATGACGGGGTCCATGGGCGTAATATTCGCACACTGACTCGCCACAACTTCCGTCCAAGGGCCCTCGCTGTGGTTTACGGGCTCTGACCACAGGCCGCGCCAGAATGCGATAGTGTCGGCCTGATTCGGTGCTGGGCCGTTCCACGTACCATTGGCCGCTCCAATGATTCATAGAGCCTCTTCTGATCACTCTGAAAGAGACGATTCTGGTTGAACCGTGTCGACCTCTCGGTATATCGCCGAATCCGCTTCCCCCAAGCAGCGATTCTCTACTTCAGGTCGTCTATGCGCTCCGTCAGTTTTTGCGTTATATCCGGCTGGGACAAACTGATATTTGTCCCAGCAAACGCCATTCTGGCGGTGCACACAATTCTCGGCCTATTATTGCCGGACCTGAAGCTTATCAGCCTGCCGATGAGGGCCCTTGCCTTTACGATACGGTCCTCAATCCTTCTTCTCCAGGCTGGGATGGCGCTACTTTGTCTAGTAGCGCGTCCAGCCGTGGGAAGTTTGGCGCCAACAATACGGCAAACTGCCAGTGCGGCGCCAAAAAGAATTGAGTCCGTCTCTCAAAGGTCCCGGCTGGCTTCCAAATAGGTCACCAGCATTGGATTGAGAGCCCTCACGACAGCCCGATTCCGCTTGCTTAGGGGTATGCGCGGGAGTCGCGGTCGATTTTCGAGAGGCGTACTGCGCGTTTCCACAATCGCCTCCTCCAATTTACTCCTCATCTGCCCTAGTTCTTGGGTGACCATTTCATCATCGCCTGAATCAACCAGAGCGGGGAGATCCATGGCGCCCTCTATATGAGGCTGCTGGTCTGTGGCCTGGAGAGCCGCATCCCCAGCTATAGCCGGTTCATTAGATGAGGGAATAGCCTCACGTCGTAGTCGTTCGAGTTCGGCATCATCAAATATTTTCGAGCGTATGATGTACCGAACTCGGTCTGCCAGGTTTTGCTCCGTGACGGGAACTGACGGCTCAAGCTCGGCAAAAAAGCGATGCATCCGAGCCCGATACGCTATCCCTCCAGTTTCTTCCCCTTTCGCCCTATAGTACGCCCGCAATGCGTTTAAGTTCATATTTTTTGTCAAACGCATGCGGCGTACTCCACCAGCGGCGGGTGCCGCTTGCCGAGTCCGAAAGGACCCCGCCGACACCAAGCCGTCTGGTGGGGATGATGGACGCGAGGGGCTGCTAGGTGGTCGTGCAGCACCTCGCGCTCGGCTGGCGGCTCGCATGCTGTCACGTCCAGCGCCAGCTCCAGACGCGCCCCGGCGACCCCCAGGCAGCGGCCCTATGCACGTTCTATTCGCGTCAATTAACGGGAGACGCCCAGACCCGGCGCCGTTTAATAGTGTAGCCGTAAGCACAAACGGGCCTTTGCACCCTCAATACTGCCGAGGCACGGCGCTCACACCTCTTGGCAAGGCACTGACTGACTGCGCTGACATAGCAGTTTTGTCATTTAACTGTTACGTCAACGGGCGATGGGGTCGTCACTTCCCTACGCCTTATTATTATTATTATTATAAAGAAATATTCCATTCATTAGAGTGAAAAAATGGGGAACGTAGATTTTAATGCACCTATCTAAACGAAATTCTAGTTGCTGGATCATATGATAGTTGTATATTCTTTTTTATTTAAGACTACTCAAAAGGGGATCGTTTATGTGTCTGAGATAATACTAAGTCAACAAAATATTTTTATTAACATAAGCGATACATTTCACTCATAACAATCATTCATAAATTTACTTAAAGCGTAGGTCTTATACCTATTAGGGCCTGCACTACTCTAATTCGATCTGAATAATGATATAGAGAGCCAGTATAGTTAGGGCTATGAGCATTTCTTCTTAGTCCTCAGTCAGTCGTATGTGCATTCTCTGCTATGTTTGAAGTATGGTTTGAAGTTTTGTGCAGATGTCCATGGGTTGCAGTAGTCATTATCACTTTAGGTACTAATTCATTACGGCTCAAAGCTAAACAAAATTAAATATTTTAAAATAATGTAAAATTTAATCAAACAAATAAGTTAACTTAGAAAATGCCTAGCAAAACCTTAATGTTTGTAGCAATATACCAGTTTGTATATCTTGTTAAACACCAGCTGTATGTGTGTGTTATCATATTATTATTGGAATATTAATAATTTGATAACTAAATTGAATCAAAATATACTTTAAAATATTGATAAAAATGTTTCAATAGATTGAGAACTCGAGAATTAGTAAGAGTAAAAATTTTATCGCCCCATAAAACGAGATTGAATATTCTAACAATTCAATTACTGCTTACAGCTATCCAATAGAAAATAAAACATGGAACAAATGTTAGGAAACAAGGGAAAAGCAAATTATATCATACTTTAAAAATATGAAAAAACCTTAAAAGGTAGGTTTATCTAAAAGCTCGGAAGTATGATAAAATAATTAATAACATTAACAAAGCGCAATAATTTTATTTTAAATTACTCCAATAAAACTATCTTAGGAGCTTATTCTTCGTAGTAGGTGGTAATTTCTTATATGCATTTTTTCATTTTCTTTTTTAATTAAACAAAGCTATAAAATAAGAAAGCTTGGATATTCCGTGCACACCATGCCATTCGCTAACGAGAGAATCTGTACAATCACTGACCATGTCCTCGTGATCTTAATTTGGCAGTTTTTGTGGCTATTTTAACCAAACATTTTATGTAATAAGAAAGAGTTATATTAAATATGATAATTTTTTTATATAATTAACCTCATCAGTGTTATCATGTCGGAAAAGTGCTAGTACTCGTAGGTTTTCACGGCACGGTTCTTTGAACGACGTCATCCGAAGAGCTGTTGTGACTATGAATGTTCCCTCGGTATAAGAGTCTTGTGTATTTAGACCCCACGGTAAGACATTGGTCCCTTGGGAGGGAGGTAAGGCCCTAGTGTGGGATGCTAATTGCGTAGATACTTTTTTATATCATAGTTTTTTTTTAAATATCTTATATGTATATTTCAATATTATGTAAATGAATTGTTATAAAATTCAATACCTGTTTTATTAAATATCGAGGATTTTCATATGAAAAAAAAGAAACATAATTTTACAGCAAAACGCTAACACATATTACGAATGTTATTACTCTAAGGAAACACAGAAATGACAAGCGTCAAAAATTGAAAAGTAAATAATAAATTAGTTTAGACCCCACAAAAAGTTTGCTGCCAACTCACTCACGGATTTTATTCTGTAATTCGATTGGGTATACACGTTATATTTACGCAGAAAGTCGAAAGCAGAAAGCTGCGTAATCAGACCGAAGGCTTCTTCCATCAGAAGAAAGGACCTTCAAGTCGATCCTAAAGATTTTTATATAAGGTTGGAGATAAAGTTTCTTCGTATTTTATATACAAATACAAGACATTTATTTTTCAAAGCTTTTACATTTTACTATGTGGTTATATGTAGTTTGATAGCCCTCTCTTGATGTTAACCAAACACTACCAAAAAACTTCTGTGGAGACCGAAACAGGTAAAAATCTGAGGAGGCAAGGTCAGGACTATGGTGGATGCTTAACACTTCCCAGCCAAGCTCTCTCAATTTTTGCTGAGTGGCCAAAGACGTGCGTGGTCTCGCGTTATCAAGATTAAAGATCACTCCTTTTTTGTTGATTAATTCCGACTTTTTTTTCTCAATTTCTTGCTTGATTGTCAATTGAACCAACATTAAATCAAGGCATGATAGTTTAGGGGCTATGTTCCTGCCGTAAACGCGAACAAACTTGATTCGATTCCCACCGGCAACAATAAAATTGTTGATTACGATTTTAAGTGCTAATTCATGACATGCTATGCGATGAAGGATAATATCGCGGGGAAAGCCGCATGCTGAGAAATTACAAAAATATTTTCTAAGACATGCATTTTAGCATTGCGGACGCTTCATTTGCCTTAATCCCTCTCAGAAATGAGAGGAGGCGTGTGCCCAGCGTTAGGACGCATTAAGGCTTTTTACTAGTATACTACTAAAATTAACTATTTCTCTATAAAATCGAGGAGACAAGCAAAATAAAAATATATGAAATTATAAATGTCCCGCATTCGATTCGCACATAACATACAAGGCTTAGCATTCTTACAAACTAGGTACTACAAATTTCATGAGAAAAAAGGTTGCTAATCAATTTTCTTAAAATAAATCTCCATTCTATATCGTAATTTTAATCACCAAATGTACACATTATTATTTTTTTATTGTTTATTAAAACTGTTTAACACGTGGTAGAGCCATGCTGCAGCTATATTAGTAGTATAGTTGTAGCACGAATGGGTCGACTCGACCGGGGAAGGACCACGCTCTCACAGATTACCAGCGTAAAACAGCAGATTAACACTGCTGTGTTTCGTATGGTGAGTGTAGAGAACCGGAGACTCATTTTACTGTAAAAAAGGCATTCCATCTTAGTCCTCACGGGTGACGACGTATCTTCATTTTGATTCGCAAACGCGGATAGATGTAGATGTCTATGGGCCACAGCAAGCGCTTACTATCAGGTGGAAGGTGCGCTCGCTTGTCACCCTTATCCTATAAAAAAATCTCAATCCCCAACAACTGAAGGTAGTCGGTGTGTTTCTATGATCAGATGTCTATGGGTCACAGCAACCACTTGCGATCAGGTGGACTGTGTACTCGTTTGTCACCCTATCCTATATAAAAAACGTGCCAGTTGCAACACAGAGTTTATTGTTTTCAAACATACCCAGGTCAGAGAGAGAATAATAACAGCGTAAAATAGCAGCGTAACGCTGCTGTGTTTTGTATGGTGAGTGTAGAGAACCGGAGTCCCTTTTTTACTGGAAGCGAGGTATTTCATCTTAGTCCTGAGCGGTGACAAAGCGTCAGCATTTTGGTTCTTAATGGAGCACAAATGTAGATGTCTATAGACCACAACAGTCAATTACCATCAGGTGGACTATGTGGTTTTTTTCTACCTTATTCTAGGTACTTATTATAGGTATAAAAGACTA